ACTGTAATGGACAATGTGACGTGAACAATATTGTGAGATGAGAGTTGTAGAATTGAAAAATAAAAGTCTGGGCGTCAATATTAAAGGTGAGGTACAAGGAACCCACATGAGGTTTCAACTCATCAACGAGAAAGCCATCAAAGAAATGAATGCCGCAAGACCACTGTTTGCTTGTATCCATTAATAGTGGACGTAAAATGAAGGGAAAAAATAGTGTTTAGTGATGAATTTAAATTTAACTTATTTATAACGGTTAATCTCTAAGTATATGTAGTGAACATTACAACATGAAGGTGTTTTCACCAAATTCACTGTCATTTTATAGAAAATTTATGGACGATAGTTGACAGGAAAATTCGAAATAAAGTTTACAAAAATGGTGACGAATTTTTCGCTTCTTTCAGAACGGACGATCTAAAGTACCGAAAGAAATCATCAACAATTTAATACACTCAATGACTCAAAGGTGTCGCAATGTTAATATTTGCAAAGGAGATTGCAATCCATAATCTTATTTTTTTTTTCAATTTTACATTTATTTACCAACACTTTCAATTTATATTTTTAAATTGTTAAATAACAATTTAATACACATTACCAAAGTAATTTAAACTTGGTAAAAAAAACATTAATTTAAAACTTTATTTACAAAAATTAAAAGTTGCTCTACTTTTTTCCAGTTTCCAGTCAACATCAGCTGGGTACTGAAAATTCATAAAACATTTAATTATAAATCGAAATAAAAGAATTGAAAGGAGTTTTTTTATAAATAAATTTCGGACGGAAACTTTTGTGTTTACATTTACGTCAGAAGTAAACTGCATGTAATTAAATGTCAGATGTAAACACACCCTAATTAATTAAAATCTGGGGGAATTGTTCACAGAATAGAACTACCTCCCCCATTTCTTTTATTTCCAAACTAAATCACTTAAATAGGCACGAATTATAAAAAGTAAAAGTCATCCGCTGTTTTTGGAGGCAATTCAAGAAAATCTGTCGTTAGTTTATTTTTTAAAAAATTTATGTAGGAATTCGATATCAATCTGTTTGTGGGAATAAACGCTCGTAATAATTGCCCACCCATACATTCACCACCGATGATGAATTTTAATAAATTCATGCGGACTTTCATCGCTTCAAACGTGGGTATTATAGGTATTGAATGTTCCGGTTTGAGTAAATATTGGTTTAACCGTAAATAACACGGTTATAAATATTAAAATTGGGTGTTTATTTAATATTTTAGAGATGGTCATGATAATGATCAAAATAATCTGTTGTGATCTTAGGCGGGTTTTTGACACGGTAGATCATGCCATCCTGTTGTCTAAACTTGATTATTATGGCATCAGGGGAAAAGCAAATAGATTGCTAGAATCGTATTTATCCGGACGATATCAGTGTGTCAGGTGGAACTCGAATCTCTCTGAGATGACAGAATGCAAATGAGGTGTATTATTTATAGTTTATATAAATGATCTCCCAAAAAATGTAGAAAGTGCTATGTCATGTCTCTATGCGGATGATACCTTCTTTATAGTTCGAGGGCGTGCTGCCGAGGATATTGAGAATAGTAGTAATGATACACTCGTCTCTGCTGGTGACTGGTTATAATAATAATAATAATAATTCACTTTATTGCCCAACAAAGATCAATTACAGGACAATATTACAAGAAAAAAAAATAAGAAATAGCACATGCCATAAAACAAATATAATTCACATAAACACTCTTACACTATTATTGATTGTTAGTTAGTTTACACATCCTCTGCACCGGGGAGTTGGCCAAAACATTGGATCTGCAATTCCTCAAATAAAACTGATTTGTACTACGTGTTGCACGCGTAGGCACCGCGAAAATGATCCGCGACAACAACCAACCACAATCCAATTCACCTTGCACTAACTTCTGCAAAAACTTGATGCACTGGTCATCTCTTCTTACGTCTAGTGCAGAAAAATTGTGACGCCGCAGCAGGGATGCGTAATCCATTCCACGATCCGGGTATGATCCGTCCAGGCGTAGAGACAAATATTTGAGAAATCTCCTCTGAATTCTCTCCAATATAAGTCTATGACACACATAATGTGGCGACCAAATTACAGAGCCATATTCCAATTTGGACAATACAAAGGTCGAAAATAGGGTCTTGTACACACCGATATCAGAAAAAGCACGCGAGGTGCGCAAAACGAAACCAAGCATCCTCGCTGCAGAAGATGCAATATTTTCGATGTGAGGTACAAAAGACAATTTGCGGTCAAAAGTTACTCCCAGATCCTTGATTGTAGATAGTTTCTCAAGAAGAACACCTTCTATATAATAAGAAGATGGAAGAGGAGACAGCTTGCGTGTAAAACTAACCGCACCGCACTTATTGGCATTAATCTTTAGCTGATAACGGTTACACCATTCCACCAAGACGTCCAAATCCGACTGAAGACTGACAACATCACGGTCCGCAAAAATAGGTCGGAATAGTTTCAGATCATCCGCATAAGCTAGTACGCTTGATGAAAATTTGTCTAGAAGGTCATTCAAGAAGATAACAAATAGTAGGGGGCCTAGATTTGAGCCCTGAGGAACACCAGACCTAGCCGTAAACTCCATAGACGCATAACCGTTGTAGTACACATAATTTATACGACCCGATAGGTAAGAGGCAAATAGTTTCATAAACTTAGGAGATAAGCCAAAAGCACTAAGTTTATACAAGAGGACGTCATGATGAATCATGTCGAATGCTTTAGAAAAATCAGTGTATACCACATCTACCTGACCGCCCCTATCCAAAGATTCACAAATTACCTCAGTAACCACCGCGAGGTTGGTAATGGTCGAACGACGCTTGATAAACCCATGCTGATATGGTGACACAAATGACTGAACCTGTGGATAAATCATCTTGTAAATAATCTGTTCAAATACCTTAGCGAAATTGGACAATAACGATATTGGTCGATAATCAGTAATGTTGGTACGTTCGCCATGCTTGAATACAGGAACAATGCGTGAGCGCTTCCAAAGTTTAGGAAACGAGCAAGTGCTTAAGGATAGGTTAATTATTAAATGAAGCGGAACTGCAAAAACTGCACAGCAATCACGAATGAAAAATGCAGGAAGATCATCATCACCAGCAGTAAATTTATTAGGTAACCTTTTTAGGAAATGAAGAATATCTTCTTCGGTGACATCGGCAATAAATACTGGAGGATACGTAGAGTGTACATCAACCATGTTATAAGCAGAGACACCAGAATATACTCCAGAGAATTGATCTGCAAAAGCATTAACTATTTTTTCAGGATCAGTGTAGGTGGACTTATCACGCGTCATTTTTCCAGGAAGTCGAGAGGTCGTTGTTTTCTGTCTTATATAATTCCAAAAGTTACGGGGATCAGAACTAAGCGATTGTTCAGCACTAATAGTAAAGGAAGTATACGCATCAGAGATTTTCTGTTTAGTCAAACATCTCAGTCTTTTATATTCCGCTGAATAGAAAGCACTATTGCTTCTCCTCCACTTCCTACTATCATACTCTTTCAACTTTAATAGCCGCTTAATTTCTGGGGTGTACCAAATAGGGTATGAGGATCCACGACTCAATCTCTTAGAAACAAATAAATCCAAAATCTCATACAACTTTTTATAAAAAGCTCGCAAAGCATCATCCGCATTAGCCTCCACATTTAGAAAATACCAATCCGTGTAAAGTAGTTTATCATACATGCCAGGAAAGTTGGCTCTTATGTGCAAATAGGTTAATAATAAATAACGAAAAGACTCAAACACTAGACTTCTTCCACAAACAAGATAAGAATACTGTAAAGCTTGTGGGTCTGATGTTCGATACCTCATTAAATTGGGGGGAACATATAAGTGCGTTGTGTACTCGGGTGTGGTGTTTTTAGTGCGCAGATTGACACATTGTGCTACGCTGGAAGTCGCCAAAACGGCTAATTTCGCGTGTTTTCATGCCATCACCGGGTATGATATTGCAGTGTGGGGGACGGCCTCGGCAATGCAGAGAATATTTTTGCTTCAAAAGAGGTGTGCGCTTGCGCTTGATGCCCTCGGACAGTTGGAAAGTTGTGGGCCGTGTTTCAAAAGACATAACATTTTAACAATTCCGTGTTTGTATGCGTTAGCATGCTTGGATTTTGTGCATAAAAATAAAACTAATTATCTGAAAAACTGTCATCTGCATGACTATGATACACGTAATAGATTACTTTTTGAAGTACCGTCTCATCGTCTTAAAACAACACAACAAGGTGTTGATTATCACGGCACCAAATTTTATAACAAGTTACCGAATTGTATAAAGTCTTTGAATTGTGTGAAATTTTATAAAGAAATTAAGCAAGAGTTCATTTAAGCAATGTTTTTGACGAATTTCTAACTTGCGAAAATTTGTTTGACTCTGTAGGCTAGAGATTTTGCATTGTACTGTGTTTTTATATTGGTCTATGTTCTTTTAATTGTAACGAATTGTAGTACATTTGCAGACAAAATAAATTGAATTTGGATTTGAATTTGAATTTAGAGATGCACGGCTAAACCCGAATGTTTCTATTTCTAGGTCTAGTGTTAGTTTTAGTGCTAGTTTACATTGTTACTTAGCTTTAGATTGTTATATATTTTTATTGAAATAAAAGTAGAACTAACAATAGACCTACAACTAAAATCATTCGCGTTTAGCCGTACGTCTCTTAAGTCGGCTAAACCTGAATGTTTCTAGATCTAGGTCTAGTGTTAGTTCTATACCTTTTCAAGCTCAAATTGGCACTAATCAGAATCAAAATGACATTAGTCAAAATCAAATTGACAACGTCAATTTCAAATTGGCATTAGTCAAAATCAAATTGACAATAATCAAAATTAAAATGGCATTAGTCAATATCAAATTGACAATAATCAAATTGGCAATAAACAATATCATATTGGCATTAATCAACAAATTTAGCACTAATCAAAAGCAAATTGCCACCAAACAATATCAAGATGGCATGAAAAATAAATGTATAAATCGGTGTCAAACAATTGTTAACTTATCGGTTATTGTCAAGTTTATGGTAATTTATTGCGAGATTTCAACTATTATATTCACACGAGATGCCTTATTTAAAGAAAAATGCTGCTGCAAATCTGAGGACACAGATTTGCGCTTTGTATAATGCCAATGGTGACTGGCGTAATCTTGCAAACGTACTACAGGTGCCAAAAAGAACCGCGTATCGATGGGTTAACAACCAAGAACAACCGGAAAAGCAGTGAGGAGGTAAACGTAGAGCTAAAATAACTGATGAGCACCGTCAATTCATGGAACGTTCAGTCGAAGAAAATCCTAAAATTACTCTTAAAGGACTGAGTGAAAAAATCCGTGAAGATTTTGCACTCAATGTCTCCAACGAATGCGTTCGACAGCATCTCAATGGATTGATGTTTACTTTGAAGACTGCTCGTAGAGAACCAGAGAACGCGAATAGTATTCAAACGAAAACAAGCAGGAGTATTTATGTAGAAAATTTATTGGATCTTCAAGCACAAAATATACCTATCATATACATGGACGAGACAAACTTTAATTTGTTCATATCGCGGACTCAGGGTCGTTCAAAAAAAGGGACTCGCTGCACAACAGTGTCTGCAGGTTGCAGAGGGTCGAATATTCACCTAATAGGATGCATTGGAAACATGGGG